TAAAGAGCATGGTTTACTGATATATTTGATTTGACATCATTTTTCAGTGGTAAACATTCATAACATTGAGGTATTGTGTATAAAATAAAGGTATTTCCACATAAGAAACTTGAAAATTTGCTCTGCATAATATTAAGGAGTAATAGTGCATGATATTTACCAGTTCTTTACTGCTAAGCATAGGCCTGATTGATTTCTCTGCCCCCTGCCATTTTAAATGTTTTGAAGATACCTCCTAAAAATTGTGGAGTACTAGAAATGCTGTTTTATAGCTGTTGCCATCCTGCCTCAAATTTAACCTATGCTTTACTACCTCAAAATCTTAATGCAACCCAAACTGGGATAATTTAGCATTAATAAGAATAATGACAGTAATGATTATAATAAAGTAAAGAAGAACCCATGAATCCATAGTGGTACTCCAAAAGCAGAAAGAAAGAGAAAAGGGAAGAAAGAAGAAAAAGAAAGGAAAGAAGGAAGGAAAAAGAAGAATAGGAAAAGATAGTTTTTCTTTACAGAAAATAGCAGCTAATAATATACAAAAAAGATGACAGAAAATCTCCATTTACAGCCCCCAATATAGTAACTGGTTTAAGCAAAGTCATTAATGGATTACATTTAATTACATATGAATGTAATCAGGTTACATATTAATTCAAAGGTAGACCAAGCATGGGCTCATACCTGTAATCCTAGGAGGCTAGGTAGGAATATTTGAGCCCAGGAGTTTCAAGACCAGCCTGGGCAATAGCAAGACTCTGTCTCTACAAACAAATAAATAGAAAAATAGCCGGTATGATAAATAAGGGAGTGTTTTATTTCACTTCTGTGGGTGACATCATCTAAGGCTCTATTTGATTACTAAGCAAAAACTGTTATCCTTAGAGGGTTTAGAACCTAGAGTATGAGAGGGAAGACTATTTAATGGAAGTTAGTGTAAGCTGATGAAAACATAGCTACTGTACACAGTCATCAATCATTTATTTTTCTGTTCTTTTTCTTGCTTACCCTTTAATTTGAGGCAATTTTCCAAGTGTTTATTGTTACCAGTCCATTACATTTCTGTAAGAAAACATTTTAACTAAGTTGTTCACAGTAGTTCCAATGCTCTTAGTTCTAAACAGGCTTATTTAGAACGATTTGCTTGTAATGTCCAAGTAGTTGTATGTAGAAAACATTTTGAAGGAATGGACTTCAGAGTAGTAAAATGCAGGCCCACCCTCCTCATCCACACCAGTCTGGCCAAAATACAAAATAACTGCCCATAAGTTCTCCCAGAAAACCATTACAATGGCTAAGTACTTGATAGGCTGAAAAGACCTACCTGAGGGTCAGAAACATGGACTCAGGAAAAGGTTTTGAATCTTTCCTTAAAATCTTTTCACAATATTATTCATATTTCTTCATGTGATTTCAATGAACTGTTATTTATCTTCAGAAGCATTTTTAAAAATAATTTTAGTTGGGTGGAATATATAACTGATGCCAATGATTTAAAAAGCATTTTAACTTTTCCTTTGTATTCAGTGAAAATGTCCAGAATGCAGTACTATTATTGCTTTGCCAAGATTCAATCACCAAGATTATGATTCTGAACCACAATCTAAAATCTATACCATGGTGGCTCTGGTGCTCTCAACTTTTGAGTACCTCAAAAAATTGCAACTTTATGGCTGAGTTTGTGCCATTTTCCTTTGCAACAGCTGCCTAATGCATTAATTCCAAGACATTTCTATATCTCCCTCACATGCATGCAAAGCAGTCCTTGTTATCTAGTATAAACAAAGATGCTTCAATCACCAGGAGAACCAGAAGCCTGAATCCCAGACTATACTCATGAAGGAATAATATCCTCAATTTCCAAGAGCAAAATTCTCCCCAGATGAGACATACAAAGGATTTTATTATTCAGTTCTTAGTTTCTGTGACAGTTCCTCTTTCAATATAATAGTTTCCCGTTAACCCAGAAGCAATACTAACTGCCTTAAGTCTAGTTATAGTTTCAACATGTCTAACAACTCTATTTTGAAGAGCATGTAACCATATTAAAATAAAGGTAACCATTATATTTTCTCTCAACATTAGTTATTTGAGGGTCACTCATTGAAATTTTGTAGTCAGAAAGAGAAATGTGCTCTATTAAACCAACATTGCTAATATAGGAAACCAAGCACACATTCAGTAAAGGGTGAAAGCACAGGGTAAGCACAGGACAGAAAGGTGCCCTGCTGCTCTTTGTCCATCTAATGACCATCTATTCAATAAGAAGTAAATTTATTATTCTTAACCAAGGGTAGATGAGAACAACTCTTTTCACAATAGATATGTTTTATGTTAAATAGGGGAAACACTTCACTTTATTTTATACTAAAATGCATTTAAGCTTTAAAAAACTCCAGAGGAACTAAAATTTGCCTACTATTCTACAGCCACTTTGCAGTGGCATAATACTACCAGGGCATAATATGATCAGATCTGCGTAAGATTTTTTGAAATCTTTCATTAATTTAGAACATAGCTCTGATATGTTTAGGAATGAACTATATTCACAAAAATAGTTTTAGTATTGTACATTTTAAAAAACTATTTCAACTATGGATATTTCATATAACTATCCCTATAGACTATTAGAAATGTAGAGGTCTTACAGATTAGAACAAAGGAAGTTTAAATGTACTCTATTTTCTGAGCCTCTTTAATAAAGATTTTGAGATGGCACAAAACAAAAACAAAGCAAAACAAAAAATTAACCGGGCGTGGTGGCACCCGCCTGTAGTTCCAGCTACTCAGTAAGCTAAGCAGGAGGATTACTTAAGCCCAGGAGTTGAAGGCTGCTGTGAGCTATGATTGTGCCACTGTACTCTACCTCAGGAAACAGAGTGAGACCTTGTCTCAAAAAAAAAAAAAAAAAAAAATTACAAACGTAAGTGATGTACCTTTACAATGGAGAAATCTTACAGATACTACCTTAACCAACTGATCAAATTTAATATCACCAATATTGGAATATCTCATTATGTTCACTCTGATTTGATATCATAAGTACACAATATTACCTGTGTAGTATTCTTTTCAAAAGCTATAAACTGAATCCAGTTATAACTTAACGATCAGACAAATCCAGAATATGGACCATCTACAAGACAGCTAACTAGCCTGAACTCTAAAACAGTCAATGCCATAAAAAACAAAAAAGGGAAAAGGACTGTTCTAGATTAAGAGACATAACCACCAAATGTGATGTATGAACTTTGATTAGATTCTGGATTTTCTTTTTTAGCAAAAAAGGCATAAAAGGCATTTGAGGGCAATTGATAAAATTTAACGAAGACTAGATATTGGGTGTTATTGAATTGAGTTTAATTTTCTTAAGTGTGGTAGTGGTATTGTAAGGATAAAAGAATGTATTTTTTTTATAAAATACATGCTTAGGTAATAAGGAGGGGAAATGTCATGATATCTGCAAATGTTTTAAAATGCTCTAGCAAAAATAAGAGACTGGGGACACTCAAAGTGGTGAAAATGTTAACACTTTGTGAATCTAGGTGAAAGGTATATAGTATTTATTGTACTATTTATGTTTTTGGTAAATTTGAAATTTTTCACAATAGGAAGTTAGGGAGAAAATCTTTAAAATATGTCCAAAGCCAACCAATTAGCGTGTGCATTGTGTATTCCTTTCATTAATTTGTTTTTTCTTCCCAAAGCATCATCATCTGAAAATAATAGTTCTTTCAGCAGTATTTTTGGCTAAGAGGTAATAAATAGCATGTTGCATTAGGGACCAATATATCTAATCCTTGACTTGTTACAGTGTTTTCAGAGATATGAGTAGTGATGGAATGGTTATTATTTGATGATAATTGTTGACTATACCAGCACTTTAGAACTTAAAGGGATCTTAAGGATTATTAATTATTCAGTTTTATAGATGAGAAAATGGAGTAAAGAGAAGGTAAAGACCTACCTTAGTTCGCATAGCCTGATATTAGCAAAATAGAAGCAAATTTTCTCAGCTCCAACCCAATCCAATGTTTTTTCTACCAAAAAATTAGTATAACATGCTTGTATTGACTATTAACTCTAGAAATTATTATATAATAAAGGAGTTTTTCAATTCTTTCAAAAGATTGATATTGAATATTAGCTAATTATAATAAAGTAACCATCAAATACATAAGTGGGCAGTATTTCATCAAATGGCAATAAGGGTGAATCTGAGGAGCATTATTATTGTTTGCAGTGGATTTATAACCTAAATATGAAAATTTCCTAATGGTATATGTAATATGGTAAAAGTAATGTGTAAAATATGATAAAAGAAATATGATCACATTAAAGAAAATTTCAAAAATTGAAAAGATAATAAAATCAGTCAAAGCTTTACTTATCTAACACAACCACATCTGGTATTTAACATATTCTTGTCTTCTTTCTTTATGTCTCTTTACAAATACATATTTTTTTTTTTTTGAGACAGAGTCTTGCTTTGTTGCCCAGGCTAGAGTGAGTGCCATGGCGTCAGCCTAGCTCACAGCAACCTCAAACTCCTGGGTTCAAGTGATTCTTCTGCCTCAGCCTCCCGAGTAGCTGGGACTACAGGCATGCGCCACCATGCCCAGATAATTTTTTCTATATATGTTAGTTGGCCAATTAATTTCTTTCTATTTATAGTAGAGACAGGGTCTCAGTCTTGCTCAGGCTGGTTTCGAACTCCTGACCTCGAGCAATCCGCCCGCCTCAGCCTCCTAGAGTGCTAGGATTACAGGCGTGAGCTACCTCGCCCGGCCACAAATACATATTAATAGAAAGTGTATATCTACAAAATTTTGTAAGTTTTTTTCCACCAAACTAGATTGAATGGACCTAAATTTATAAATATTTTTATGACTCTATGGATATATTGCCAGTTTACTTTTTTCCTTTTTTTAAAAAAACATTACTGATTAGATCATTGGTGTTCTGATTTTTAAAAATGTGATTTCTTTTGCTATCCACAGCATAATGAAGTAACACCAAATGAAATAAAGATCCTTAGGGAAAGCAGTGAACTAGCAACAGAGCACAAAAAAGAATTACCCAAAAGGTATTAAATTTATGTACTTCTTTGATATTTAATTCAATGTAGACATCTTTGAGCACTTATTGTGTGCTTATCTCATTTTATTTTCACAGTCTTCCTATAAGATTGATATTATCATTATCACCATTCCTGTTTTACATAAAAAGAGATCTAAGATTAGAAAGATTGAGTCAGTTTCCCAAAGTCATAGAAACGTATTAAGTTGGGGAGAAGCAGGATTTAATCTGGGTCAGTCTAATTCCAGAGCTCATGCATTTAACTACTATGCTATATTAATCCCTGTTATAATGGTGAAATTATTCTTAAAATATATTTTTTAAATTGGAAGAAAATATACTAAATATCAGCAATAATTGTATTAGGATGGAGAGTTGTAAGTAATTTTCCCCCTCCTTTCCAAATTGTTTGTAACTTCAATTTAAGAAATTTAATCTAAAAAGACAAACAAACATGGACTTGTCACTATGTTAGGGCCAATTTACAAGAGGCCTCCTCATTGCAGACTTTTACTTGATATAGTCCTACTTCCATATTTTCCCACTTTGTGCTTTTCAAATATTCATGGGAAACACTGGTTATTCAAAAGTCTGTGTTTCCTCCTGCTGAGCCTGCTGCTAGAGTAGCCCCAAAAGTGGCAGCAGAATTTTCACAAGGGGGTGCCACAAATCATTTCAAGATGGGGCCAGTTGGGATTCTAAAGAAAGAACCACCAAACATTGGGTGATCAGTCTAAAGCATATATTAGGGGAACTTATAAATGCTATAGCAGTTCTCGAAATGAACAGCTAGAGAAAAGGAGTGTTCTATTTAGGTATGTGTAAGCCCAGGAGGTCACAGTATGGAGTTTATGTGACAGTTTAAGGATCAGGGCTAGGACCAGTTTCTTTCAGTGTTTTCGGCAACAACCTAGATACCTTTATCAGTGCCTGGGAATGTTTAAGGCCCCAGTTTGGGTTCAAGCCTGCTGGGAAAAACCTGCAACTGGTTAGGTGACAGAGTAGTGAAGGCACTCTGTGATTTTTGGTTAGGACACAGAAAGAAAATATGGGGACCTGGGAAACCCTACAGCCTGGTATTTAGCTGCTGAAATAAAAATGATCAAATAGTAGTTATCTTTTTTCAATATAAAAATTAATGATTTAACTTATATAATTTTTCCAATTTTAAGTTTTTCTCTCATGAAAGATAATTTCCTTAATATATAAAGAGGTCTTACAAATCTGGGAAAAATATGTCCAATCCAGTAACAACAACAAAAATGGACAAAGGGTATGAATAAATCCTAGATAGGCGTCTGCCTAGAGCCTTTTCTTTGTGTAACCACCAGAGGGTGCAGTGTGAACATAGATAAAATATACCTTCACCTTACCTGCTGAAACATTTCTTTTGTTGGCATACTACTAGTGCCATTGGGTGGTGAATTATTATTGAGCATGTGCTACATACAAGACACTGTAGGCTAAGCATTACAGTATTTAATTTGATTCTCACAACCTATGACATAAACAAACACTATTAGCCTCATTTTATAATGGAAGAAACAGTTTCAGAGAGCTAAATAATTTACCCAATATTATTCAAGGAATGGAACTTAATTTAAAATCAAATTTAGCTGATCTAAAGTCCAAACATTTAGTCACTATGCTATTTTACCTTCCCGATATGTTCCCCAAATCTTCTGAAAATTGCATGAATTTTTGTTTATTTTTCTTGTTTTTAATTATTTTATTATTATAAATGTAATGTATACAAATTTGTCAAAATGGAAAATACAGAAAAGAATAAAGAAAATTTAAATTATAGCAACCCCACCATTCAGAGATAACCACCATTGATAACAGTACATTTCTCACCAGTTTATATAAATAAATATATTTAATAGAGTTGAGATCATATTCCACATATAGTCTGTCTCTTGATTTTCCATTTAACATTCTATGAGCATTTCCCCATGTTGAAAAACCATATTTGATATTATAATGTATAATGTCTACAGATGGTATTTCATCTTATTGTTTGTTTAACCATCTTTTAAAATTTATTTTTTTGGCAATGTTACTCCTTTTTGTTTGAGACAGAGTCTCACTTTGTTGCCCAGGCTAGAGTGAGTGCCGTGACCTCTGCCTAGCTCACAGCAACCTCAAACTCCTGGGCTCAAGCAATCCTCCTGCCTCAGTCTCCGGAGTAGCTGGGATTACAGGCATGTGCCACCATGCCCAGCTAATTTTTTCTATATATATTAGTTGGCCAATTAATTTCTTTCTATTTTTATAGTAGAGACGGGGTCTTGCTCTTGCTCAGGGTGGTTTCGAATTCCTGACCTCGAGCAATCCACCCGCCTCAGCCTCCCAGAGTGCTAGGATTACAGGTGTGAGCCACTGCGCCCGGCTGACAATGTTACTCTTAAGACACCTTCATGAACATCTTTTTAAAAATAAATCTTGTTCAACTTTTTTGATAAATTTCTTCATGTAAATTCTCAGATGTGCATTTATGGTATAAAAAGATAAGATTTTTTCTTTTTTAAACACCTTAAATTTATGTATTAATTAGTACAGTAGCATATATCTAATTCTTAGAATATGGAGCTGGAAAGTGTTCTTTCATGCTGGAAAATCAACTACATATTATCATATAGTTCAAATGTATTTACTGAAGAGCTCTACAACATTTTAATCAAAATCCACTTTCAGTTTGTTAAATAATTTCTTGGTAGAACCACCGAGAAAGGTGGTACCCTCATGATTAAATCATGAATCTCTTCAGAATTAATTATGATGGAATTTGATTATATTGATCCAAATATTACAGTGGTGGCAGATTGAGTAAAGGCAAAGTTTTACTTTTAGTTTCCCCAAGTGCTGTCTAACTTGATTTAGGAGGGCTTGGTAATACCCAAGCATTTTTTTCTAGAGAATTTCTGCCATGGAGTTGTATTCCTGAAAATTTGTACCATCATTAGGAATGGATCTCTCATTATCTGTCCATGATTGGAGGATTTGCCTTCTCTGATAAAACCTTTACATCTCCTGGTAAAGGGGAAGATATAGTTTAAGAAAGAGCTTTGCTATCAGCTTTGGTGGAAAAAAAGAAAAAAAGCTTTGCTATTTGGTGAGAGTGGGAGATGTTTTCTGTATATTGCAGCAAAATTCATCAAGTGCAGTTTTGTGCTGTCTTTCCCAAGGTCTTCAGTGCATTCTTCCGGAGAGCAGGCTTTCTTGATTGCAGTTGGGGTTTTCAGTTTTCTTAGTAGTTCAGCTTGTACTTGAGTCACCAGATGTAAATTAGACATTTTTTCTCTTCAGTTCCTAGTATGGATGCTGCATATTATTACTTGAAATGCTTAGTCTTTGGAGATCTCTGCACTTCAGATTGTCTTCCTGATATGGATCTGTTTGCTTGGCATTTTGTAGCTCTCTTTTGAAAATGTTATATTCTGTCCTCATTAGTTCCAGCTCTTGTTCCAAACCATGGATCTTCAGGTCACAGCTCAACTTTTCCAGCTCCCAGTTTGATGAAGATGTATTTAAATTCCTCATCACCTGCTGAGTTTCACTTCTGTCCTTAGCTGGAGTTCTGCTTCCTTAGATTGTAGCTGTTCATTCAGTACTTTCAAAGATTCAGAGTTATCTTTATTCATTTTATCCAATTTGCTTTTCAAATTATCTCCATCAATGCAAACTTCTCAAATGTACATGATAGGCTTTATTTACTTGTTCTTATCTCACAGAATTTGTTTCTTCATCTAATCAAGCTCCTATAAGCTTTTCTTCCAAAAATTTTATATTTTTCTTTAACAAAGAGTTGTCGGCCAGGCGCGGTGGCTCACACCTGTAATCCTAGCACTCTGGGAGGCCGAGGCGGGTGGATTGCTCGAGGTCAGGAGTTCGAAACCAGCCTGAGCAAGAGCGAGACCCCGTCTCTACCATAAATAGAAAGAAATTAATTGGCCAACTAATATATATAGAAAAAATTAGCTGGGCATGGTGGCACATGCCTGTAGTCCCAGCTACTCAGGAGGTTGAGGCAGAAGGATTGCTTGAGCCCAGGAGTTTGAGGTTGCTGTGAGCTAGGCTGATGCCATGGCACTCACTCTAGCCTAGGCAACAAAGCGAGACTCTGTCTCAAAAAATAAAAAAGAGTTCTTTTTCTCTGAATCCTTATGTCATTTTTTGATGTCTTCATATGCAGTGACAAGGGCAAAATGGGAAGCAACAGACTCATCTCCTAAATATCTTGAAGCTGAAGTCACTGTATCTCTCCTATGGGCTTTTTCATGATTCAGAATGCAGATAACTTTTACCATGACAGCCCGAAGCCAGGCTACATGGAGCTACACCTGAATTTCCAATCCCTAGTGTTTGTAGACAGACCGAAAGCAAACCAGTTCTCTAGGGGTCACCATGGGCTTCCGGTTTCCTGAAGACACTGCTGTTTCTCCAGCGAAGACAGCAGCTCCAGGGATTCCCATTTCTTCTGCCTCAGCTCAAGATGTGAATATTTTATTTTTTTTTAATTTATTTATTTTTTTTTTATAGTACTACGTATCAGTGTATAGATGTGAATATTTTAAAAGGCCATGATGCACATTGCTGGTTGCTTCCCACAAAAGTACACATTTAAACTAACACCAGTGTTGATCTCACCACATCCTCACCAGTATATTAACAGGAAGTTTTTGCTAATAGATGAAAAATGACATCTTGTTTTAATTTCCATTTTTCTTTGATTACTAATATGTTTGAACCTTTTTGCATTTGTTTATTAGCATTTTGTATTTCCTTTTCTGGGCTTGTTTTTATCCTTTCTCCATTTTTCTATTGGAGCATCTTACTCTTTGTCTTATCAACTTGTCTGACATCTTTATTTAATAGCTATGTTATCCTTTTGCCAATTTGTCAAATTAAATCCTTGACTTGTTTTCTGCCTTGTACTTTTTTGCAGATATATGTTTTTAATTTTTACATCATTAAATTAATTGTTTTTTCTTCATAACTTCTTTT